ATCTTATAGTTTTTCTCCTTTAATAAGTTAATGTGGTAAACTATATTGATTTTTTAATATTATACAACCTTACATTCCTGAGATAAACCCTACTTTACCGTTTTCTTTACATTATGGGATTTTGTTAATATTTTGTTAAGGATTTTTATCATCAAGGACTTAGTTATGATAATGAGAAACTTTGGTTTATAACTTTCTTTTCTATGATTTTCTTGTCTGATTTTGGTAACAAGGTAATTCTAGCCTCACAGAATGAGTTGGAAAGTATTCCTAATCCTATATTTTCTGAAAGAGTTGGTGTAGAATTGATATTTCTTCTTTAAATATTTGAAACAATTTGCCAGGGAAACCAGCTGGACCAAGATTTCTGTTTGTGAGGAGTCTTTTTAAATTACAAACTCAATTTATTTAATGAATACAGAGTTTATATTTCCGATTTCTTCTTGTGTCCATTTTTTAAGTTATGTTTTTTTTTGTTTGTTTGTTTGTTTTGAGACGGAGTTTCACTCATGTTACCCAGGCTGGAGTGCAATGGCACGATCTCGGCTCACCACAACCTCCACCTCCTGGGTTCGGGCAATTCTCCTGCCTCAGCCTCCTGAGTAGCTGGGATTACAGGCACGCACCACCATGCCCAGCTAATTTTTTGTACTTTTAGTAGAGACGGGGTTTCACCATGTTGACCAGGATGGTCTCGATCTGTTGACCTCGTGATCCACCCGCCTCGGCCTCCCAAAGTGCTGGGATTACAGGCTTGAGCCACCGCGCCCGGCCAAGTTATGTTTTTCAAGAAATTTGTGCCTTTCATCCAAATCATTGTATTAATGGGCATAAAGTTATTTATAATATGACTGCATTATCCTTTTAAGGTCTGTAAGCTATTTAGTGCTGTCCCTTCTTTTATTCTTGATATTGGTAATTTGGATATTCTGATTTTTTATCTTGATTAATTTTCCTAGGTGTATATCAATTTTATTAATCTTTTTAGCAAACCAATTTTAGCTTTTGCTGATTTTCTTGATTATTTGTCTCTCATTTTATTAATTTCTATTTCTTATTATAGTTTGGTTAACCCATCTCTTTTAGCTTTTTAAGGTGGAAACAAAGGTCATTGATTTTGTACATTTCTTACTTTCTAATATAAGCATTTAAAGCTGTACATTTCCCTTTAAATTTTGTGTATATCGAAGATTTTGATTTTCATTATTATCAAATTTTGATTTTCATTATCAAAATATTTTCATTATCATTAAATTTAAAATATTTTTGAAATTCCCTTATGATTTCTTCTTTGACTCATGGTTTATTTAGTCGTGTGTTGTTTAATTTCCAAACATTCAAATAATTTTTGTAGGTATCTTGTTATTACTGATTTCCACTTTATGTTTCATTGCGTTCAGAGAATATACTTAGAAATTCATTATAAGAAGTTTGAGACTTGTTTTATGATCCAGTTCATGATCTCTTTTGAGAAATGTTTCATGTGCATTAGAGAAATATGTGTGTTTTGCCTCTGTTGGGTGGAGTAATCTAAAAATGTCAGTTAGATAGGTTATCAGCATTGTTCAAATCTTCCAAACACTTAACTGATTTTTCAGCCTATTAATTACTGAGAGAGGGTATATTCAATTCTCCAGCTATGACTGAATATATATCGTTTCCTTTAATTTTATCCATTTTTGCTTCATATATTTTGGTACTTTGATATTAGGTACAAAAACTTTTGCAATTTTTATGTTTTCTTGATTAATTAAGCCCTTAATATCATTATAAAATGTTCCTTTTATCTTTTTATCAACTTGAGGCCTACTTCACCTGATATTAGTTTCACCTGTTTACTTTTGCACAGCATTTACAGGTTATCACTTTCAAATTGTTTACTTTCAACTTTTTTGTGTCTTTATATCTAAAGTGTATGTCTCCAGTTGAGTCTTGCACTTTTACCGAGTCTGACAAACTCTGCCTTTTAATTGGGAAGGTTAATCCCTTTATATTTAATGTAATTATTCATCTACTTTGATTTTAAATAAATTTTGGTTTGGTTTTATATTTTATGCTCTTCGTTTTTATGTTCCTATTATTTTTAGGATGAAACATATTTTTAACATTTCATTTTATCTCCTCTATTGACATTTTAGTCATGCTTCTTTGAATTATTTTTAGTGATTTCTCTAGCAACTACAATCTTTAATTCATCACAGTTTGCTTTCAAAAAATATTCTATTATTTCATGAGCAATTTAAGAATCCCCCCACTGCCACATTATCATTTTCATTCTAAAATACCATGTTCCTTTGTTATTATCTTTACTTTAAAAAAAATTTTTTTTGAGATGGAGTTTCCCTCTTGTTGCCCAGGCTGGAGTGCAATGGCAAGCACCGCAACTTCTGCCTCCCGGGTTTACGTGATTCTCCTGCCTTAGCCTCCCAAGTAGCTGGGATTACAGGCATGCGCCACCACACCCAGCTAATTTTGTACTTTTAGTAGAGACGGGGTTTCTCCGTGTTGGTCAGGCTGGTCTCCAACTGCCGACCTAAGGTGATCTGCCCGCCTCAGCTTCCCAAAAGCTGGGATTACAGGCATGAGCCACTGGGCTCAGACTATTTTTACTTTAAATGGCCAATTATCATTAAAGAGTTTTGAAGCTACTTTTTATTTATAGACCTATTCACTCTTTCTGATGTTTTTCATTCATACGAGTTCTTGCCGTAGGACCAGGTTTCCATCAGAAATCATTTTCCTTCAGCCTACAGAACTCCTTTTAGCATATCCCCTAAAGATTACTTCTTTCTGGTTTTGTCTGCTTAAAAATATCTTCAATTCACTTTTATTTTTGAATGATATTTTTACTGAATATAGAATTATAGATTGACAAGATCTTTTGTTTTTTCCTGTAGCATGCTAAAGCCAGCATACCATGGTCTTTATCCTTGTTTTTGGCAATCTGACTGATTCTGCTTGGGATTCTCTAAGCTTCTTGGTAAGGTGTATATTTACTCCCTAGTTTTAGAAAATGTTTTATTCTTTTATCTTTGAATATTTCTTCTTGCATGTTATCTCTTGCCTTCTTCTTCTGGTACTCTAATTATAAATGTGTAAGACATTTGATATTATACCATAGAACTCAGATACTCTTATTTTTTTCATTCTTTTTTCTCTTTTTGTTTCAGATTGGATCATTTCTATTGATCTCTTTAAGTTTTTTTCCTCCTGTGTCTAATCTTCTAATAATTTTAGAATTTTTCATGTCTGACATTATGATTTTCATTTTTTAGTGTTTCCATTTAGATTTTTTTTATATATAGTTTTCATACCTCTGCTGAAAATCCCCATCTGTTCATACATGTTGCCTACCTTTTCCTCTGGATCCTTTAACATATTTATCTTAGCTATTTTACAGTCCCTGTCTGATAATTGCAACATTTGGGCCAACTTTGGTCTGGTTCTATTGACTATTTTGTGTATTGACAAGTGATCATATCACTGTTTGTTTGTTTGTTTGTTTGCCTGAGGGTGTATATGCATTTGATAAGTTTATATTGAATGCCATACATTGAATGTAAAAAGTAGCGATGAGGCAAATACAGCAAAAAATGGAGAATTGTCTTCCTCTATCAGTCTGTTAATATGGGAAGCTGAATTAGTATCTTATCTGAAATTCAGCTGGGTTTGGACTTTGCTATTGTTTTAGTTACATTCAATGCACTAGAATCTTCAAATTCTCTTACTAGTGAACTATTGTTGTCCCACACTTAGTATGAAGCCTAGTGTAATGGACAGTTTCTCTCAATTGTCCTGTACCACCTTAGACTTCAGTAGGCTCTGCACTATAGAATAGGTCTCTCAACATTCTTGCCCCTCTCCTAGTTTAATAATACCACCTGATGCCTAATGCAAGGCCCAGCATTCATAAAGATTTATTTAGGCAGCCCTACATACCTGGGCCTTAGAGAGGATCACTCTTAGCTCTCCTCTCTCTCCCCCACATGACATTATCTCACACTTAGTGCAGAACCTTGAGCTTGGGTAGGTTTGTGGCCCTCACCCAGTAGCAGATAACAGCTGCCTTATACTCAGTGCAATATCCTGAGTAAGGCCTGATTTTCTGCCCCTTTCTCAGCAGCAGATAACAACTGACTCTTGCCTATGCATGGTCCAGGAGGGTTTCTCTTGGTTTCTCTGCTCTAGCCTCAGTGTTGGGCAGGCCTTGAGGTCATGAGCATGGGAGGGTTTTTACTGGTTCTCTTGCTAAAAGCTTAGGTAAGTCCTGAACCATAGAGAGTTGTCTATCCTCTTACTCCATCCCCAATTTTTTTGTGTAAGCTCTCGGTGGAAGCCAAAGGACAACAGAAAGACACCCTTGTGTCTGCAGCTTACGATAATTCTAAACCATTATGCGAACCCATACTTGGCTCTTAAAACATGATTACGATTTCAGTTGTTTTCTTCTTACTATCTCTGACATTTACCTCCTCCTCCTGCTGCTCTGCCCAGGGTAATATCCTGGGAGGGACTGCCACTCTTTTGATTTAAACTCATTAGGTTACCTTGTGTCCTCAGGGCGGCTCCCTGACAGACTTAAAAATATGTGATTTTATAAACTGTCTCATTTTTTTTACTGTTAGGGTGAAAGCAATATTCTCTTGCATTTTTATATTCTATGTGGAAATTCCTGCTAATATGAATATTAGTAACGATCTCTCTCTTTTGGTATAAATTTATATGCTTTGAAACACACTTTTACTTTCTGTGTGTTTATTCTTCTTTAATGCAACTGAAATGAAATTCTGACCCTTCCCTCTTTGTCCCATAGCTCCCTGCACGTGGAGCTTAGTCATAGTAAGTAAGGTAAAAAGCTGGTGAACAATCAATCAAGGATTAGAATAACATTAGAATAATTATAACTACAAAGCAAGAACAAAATTTGGTAGGGCACCGAGCAAATAAAGCAGGTAATGTTTTATTTATGTATTATTTAATTTCTCAAAATTCAATGAGCTAGATGCTATTTTCTAGATGAGGAAATTTATGCTCAGAGAAATTAAATGACTTGCCCAAGACCACACAGCTAGTAACCGGTGACACTGGGACCCAAGCAGTCTACATTAGGGTTCACACTCTTAATCTCCATGTCATGAAGACATGAGTGAGGGGTTAAATGTTTACTTAAACAAGATTTTCTTTCACTGATGATCTGCCATCTGAGTTCTAATTCATACAGCTCTCCATGAATTGAAGGCCAGAGCAAGACACACTTAATTTTTTCCCCTCACACATCTTCCACAAGGAATTGTTGCTTCCAGGCTTAATCTCACCAGAATGCCTTTAAATCATTCTGCTGTCTCAGGAGGTCCCTCTCCCCAGGCTACCTGTTCAACACAACAGGCAGAGGGCCAAGACTGGAGGTTGCAGAGTATGGCACCAAAACAATGCCCTGAAGCAGGAGGAGCATAAAGATGACTCCTCGGGCAAATGCAGACAGATCTGACTGCCCAGAGCCAGCCTCTGAGGGGCTGGAGACTTGACAGGCGGCCCGACTCCAGGAGAAAGTGGGGAGCCTTGGTGCACTGTGGGTCATCAGCTAATGCATCTAAGGGGCAAAGTCACAATTTTAAGGTGGCAGAAGGAAAAATTCACCCAACTCCATTTACAGTTCAGCAGCATAACTTCCCAGACACACTGTCTAGAAATAGGGCGGGCTCTTTTTGAAGCAACCTCTTGACTGTTCAAAGAAAACACTTCCCAAGTCATTTTTAAAACTAGAGACATTGTCATTAGGGGAGAAGAGATCAAAAGCACCTTAATCTCCTCTATCAGTGAGCCAGCTACTTACCAAGTCTGAGAATGTTCCCCATGTGCTGCTTCCTGAGTCTGCCTGATAGTCCTGGGATTGGTACCTTGGATCGTGAAGAACAGAAATATGGTTTTACTTATGCAGGTCCCTATCTCTGGGAGATGCGTGGAATGATAACACAATGGCCTAATCAACTCCCACCCCAACGGCTGCACAAGGGTATTTCCACAATCATAATTGGGATAGCTGCAGTTGCTTTCTTTAAAGAGGGATCAAAACATTGAAATCCATCCAAGAACACTGCTATGTAACCGGAGAGCGGGCAGCATTCATTAATGGAAAACGCACAAGGCACTTGCCCTCATGTTCTTAAATAAGATTCCTTCAACATTTCTCAGGGAAAAGTGGGCCCTATGTCTCCAAGCACTCAAGAAGGCTCCTCTTGTATGAGAAGCATACATTGTAGGCATACCTATCCAAGGCTATCTCTTATACCACCAGGCTGCTGCAACTTAAGGTTGCATTAATAGAAGTATGCTTCCAAGAACACAGGAGGTGATGTCTTTCTTTCTTCTATGAATAACTCATACAAGGATATATGGGATTCAATGCCCTCGAACTTTAAAGTGAAATTTGCCCAATTAGAAGAAGGATCGGCACATGTGAGATTAGAGTGCACAGTAAAAATAGTGTGAGTGTGAGTTAGAGTGTTAATCAGCAGTGGAAATACAGACACAAATAGGCTAAATTTGTCCAGATTTTACAATTATTTCATATGTCCCGGTCCCAGACCTCCTGTCACCCTAAGCAACCAGTGTTGCTGTTGACTAATACTCTCACACTCCCTTTACTCTGCACTCTAATCCTACATGTCCTGACCCTTCTTCAACTAAACCGTGAGCTCCTTGAGGTCAAGGATGGTAGGTGGTTAGCACACAGTGCCTGGCATGCTCGAGACATATTTGTTGAATGAACAAATAGACAGACAGACAAACAAAAGGACTGCTTTGGGGGAACGAGACCCCAGATACTCATATCCATGGGATGAAGTGATGAGCCTGGCCTGATCATGGAAGGGGTAATGAAATTCCAGCCTGCCTCCCACAGAGAAGCAGAAGGATAAGGCTCTTCCAGTCTATAATTATAGCAAGCTACACCCCGACTATAGAAGCAAAGTTATATATGCCAAATCTGAAGAAACCAAAGATAGGAGTCAAAGTGGGATTAGGAAGCTGCGGAACCTCAGGCAAACTCAGGCCAGTCTGTGCCTCCGCTTCCATTTGCTGTACATGACTAAGATCACAGCTGGCTCACCAGGGTTGCTGGATGTATTAGTCCATTCTCACACTGCTATAAAGATACTACTCAAGACTGGTTTATTTAAAAAAAAAAAAAAAGAGGTTTAATTGGCTCACAGTTCTGCATGGCTGGGGAGGCCTCAGGAAACTTACAATCATGTTGGAAGGGGAAGCGGGCATGTCTCACATGGTAGCAGGGGAGAAAAAGCATGTGAGCACGCAGGGAAAACTACCATTTACAAAATCGTCAGCTGTCATGAGAATTGACTATCATGAGAGCGCATGGGGGAAACTGCCCCAATAATCCAATCACTTTCCCCCTCAACATGTGGGGAGGTTAGGTCCCTTCCTTGACACATGGGGATTACAATTCAAGATAACACTTGGGTGGGGACACAGAGCCAAACCGTATCACTGGGAAAAGAAAATAAAATGCTATCAGTAAAGGGCACATTAAAAACTATGAAGGCCCCTACATGGGCAAGGAGAGAAGACAGAGACAACAGAGATAAGCGGCATTCTAGGAGGAGGGAACTGTGCGGCCTAGGACATGGACAGGAAGTGCAGGGAAGAGCTCTGGGACTGGCTGGGCCTAAGAGCACCCAAGCCCTTCTCTTGAGGGATGGCTACCAGGATGTCCTGGATGGCATGAACCCAGCCAGGAGGCTGGCACCAAAGGGAGGCTGACAGCAAGGCAGGAGAGAAGGAAGCATCTCTGCACAAGGCCTGGGGGTACCTGAGTCATGATCTGCACACCCAGGACAGCAGGATGAAGCTACTGTTGCTGCATTATTACCAACACAACACTGACAACACACCCAACCCCTCATAATTGCATCTCCCTCTTGCTTTGGCTGCTAGGAGACTCACAGTCTAATTTGCAGCCTATTACTAGTAAGAGCACTGGATTCATAGTGGCCTTTCTTCCTCCCTCCTTTCTTCCTCCCACCCTACTCCTGTACCTCTCCTATTAGCCTGTAAGCTCCAGGAGGGCAGGAGCCATGTCTGCTTTTCTGTTCACTGCTGTCTCTACGGAGCCAGGCACATGGTGAATCCTCAGTATCCTTGCTGAGTGACCAGCCACACTCCTACTTTCTTACTTTTCTTTTCCATTTGCCCAGCTTCTTCTTATTTTTTTGTCCTGCTACAGCATTTGTATTTCTGAAAGCCACCACAGATCCTCTTTTGTACAAGGTGGGATATCAATACAAACATAAGGAAAAGAAGACACAACAAATAAAGAATCCACAGATGCACAATTCCCCCAAGCGGCTTATATAGCAATGTGGCTCTGCTGACCTGCCCCTCCCCTCCTAGAGGCAAGCGAGGCAGGTGCAGTTGCAGAAGACGCTGCTTCTGAAAGTTCAGTTTTGTCCTTAGGAGGCCTTCCTACCAGGCTGCTCCCAGAGATTGTGTTACCTCCAGGCCCAGCTGACAGGTTGCCTGGCAACACTCAGCAGCCGCCGCGCCTCTAAATCCCTAATTTGTGTCTTACATGTACACGGTGCAGTGCTAGCATGACCCCGAGCAGGAGACTCCTCTACAAATCCCCATCTAAAATAGGCCTGATCTGCCTGCATTACCAGAGTCTGAGGCCCAGAACCTTCTCTTCTTCCTGGGCTGTGACTTCCAGCCTGGACCCAGGGGTGCCCACGGAGCACGAGCACAGAGGCAGGCGCTTTGAGTCTTGATGCTACCGTGTCTGGTTTGCCAGGAGAAAACAAGGAAGAAGAGATGAGCTTGAGCTTAAAGCCCACACAGTTTATGTCCATGAAGATCCCATCACCCTATGAAGAGCTGCCTCATTGGAGATTTTCTGCTCTCAGGCAAACACTTTATTTTTCATCCAGAAGGGTCAAAAACATGGCAACGTGTAAATAAATGAAGTGTTGCTTAAGATCATGTCTAAACAGTGAGCAAAAATAAATATCCTCACTCTAAAGGAAGACAGTATACAATATCCATCTGGGGAAGCAGGAATATGAGGAGTAATTTGGGGGAAATTGCTTTATGAGACCCAAATTTCACCTGTGGCTTCCTGAAACCATGACAAAGAGTAAAGAGCCCCAAACTCATGGACTTCCAAACAAAGCCCAGGGATGGAGACATGAGTTCTCATCCCTTCCTCCTGGCTCTAAGCAACCTTGCCAGCAACCTCCTTGCTGCTAGTGACTGTAGATTTTACTGCAGCCTCTCCAGCTGCTTCTCACGCTTAACTACTAGGCAACTGTGAGCCACAGCACTGTCCACGGGAAAACACTCCTCTTTTCCGTTTCACTCAAAGATGAGGCCATGCTTTCTTGTACTGGGTCTAAAATCAGTCAATTCCATCCGGTCTCTGTCTCTAAGCCAAAAGTTAAAACTTTAAGCATTACGTACACAAAAAACAAAAGAACAATTTCAGTTCTTTCTGCTAAATTACATTTTTGATAGTGAAATGAAAAACAGATGAGGAGAAGGGGTGAAATCAAGAGATTTTGGAGCTGCGATGCTCAGTACAGAAGCCACTAGTCCCATAGGCCCAAGTTAAAATTTAAATTTAAATTTAAATTAAATAGAAGTAAAAAATCTAGTCCTTCACTTGCATTGGCCAGAGTAGGTATTTCAAAATACCACACAGGGGTAGGAGCCACTGTGTTGTACAGCTCGAATCTAACTGAAGAACAATGCCGTCACCACAGAGGGTTCTGTTGGATAGCACTGCCCTGGATGAGCCCCCGAGTGGACCATGGCACCGAGGTCCATCCTCAACATGGTAGAGCCTGTCAACACCTTGATCATCACTTCAGAGCTGGGCCCTGAGTCTTCTGTCTAAGAAAAACCTCTACGGCCAAGGCCTAAACACTTCTGGGAATTTGCCCAGGACCCCCAGTGCAATGTCTCACCCAGACTTATCCCCTCATCTCAACGAAAGCTCCCTTTTGACTCATCTCCAAAGGCCACACTGTCACACTGCTTCAGAGGTATAGTGAAAATGGTACCCCCGCCCCAGGATACGTCCACCCAGGACCTATAAGCATGAACTTATTTGGAAAAATAAGTCTTTGCAGATATAATTAAAGATCTTAGGATGAAGACCAGGCTGACTCATCCAAGTTGTTCCTAAACCTGATGACAGGTGCCTTTATAAGAAGAGATGTAACAGAGCAGGAGGCCACATGAAGGCAGAGGCAGAAACCAGAGTTACACAGCCACAAGTCACAGCGTGCCAAAGACTGCCAGCAGCCTCCAGATGCCACCAGCAAGAAGTAGGACAGGTACCCCTCACATCCTCCTGAAGGAGGCAACCCTGCCAACACCTGAGTTTTGAACTTCCGGCCTCCAGAACTCTGAGAGAATCAATTTCTGTTGTTTTAAGCCATGTGATGTGTGGCAATTTGTGGCAGCAGGCCCAGGAAACTAACATAAGGGGTTAATGGCAAATTACGACTGAATGGGTTTGCTCTCTTGGGAGAGATGCATTCAGCATGGATGACTGGCCTGTGACATCCAGCCTGGACCCATGGGTCCCTGCTGAGCATGAGCACTGAGGCAGGCAGGCAGATGGAGCCTCAGGCCCCAGGGCCACTATCTGATCTGCACATGCCAGGAGGACGCACCTGATGGCAGTGGCAGAGAACAGGATGTGGGGGCAGTGAGGCCTTTGCAGGACCCCTCAAAAGATGCTACTGAGATGGCTCTGGTGCCCCCCCCCACCCAGTGTCTCCTGACCCTTCTCCCCTTGTGGCTCCCTCCTCTATGCCATCCTGGGCCACTGTGCTCTGCCCTTTCTCGCCCCTCCTCTCCTGCTAGTCTCATTCCTATT